CGTTTAATGAGCTGCCCAATCTATAAGACAAGGGGTGGCACAGTGCTATTGGACACTTATAGTGTCATATAGCAGCCCACGCCAACATCATCCATCAGCTTCTGAAAGAGCATCTAGGTCACAATTGTGATTTTATTTTTAAAAAGGTCTCTAATGTGTTTCTGGTATTGATGGCACACAAATATAGGATTAAAGTGTTTGTTAATTGCATTATCAGTTCTTAATCCCTTGTGTGTGCAGGCCACAACGTTCATCTTCAGTTCAGCCCTCCTATATGTATGGCACTATTCGCGCGATTTTCAGACGATGCTATGGATCCAACCATGTATGACAAGGAAAATCGTTCAGGGGAGCCTCAGGCGTAGAGTAGTTCCATCTCCAATTTTGGTATCTGAAGATTATTATAGTTTGAAGTAGGACTTGGATGAAATGCTAGCCTAAGGCTCAAGGAGTCTCATTGTCATTCCTCCTCGCGAGATGAAATCCCTCATTTTCCTAAATGTAGAGTTTACACAACTTGAAATTACAAACCACTCTTCATTTTAATAGCTGGTACCTAGACCGATGGTTGGTGCATAAATGAAGCACACCGAGCTTAAAAAGGGCATCTTCAAGGTGGTCCCGTAAACCTCCCGCAACCGTTCGGACCGCGGAAGCCATCCAACACGGTCATGTATTGGTCCGTGAGGCAGTCCGGACTTGATTTCTCCCGCAAAACGGAGACAAAAGTGGGGGATTTGTGAGAGTCCGGACACACAAAACGTACGAATCCAACACCCCAGACCCACCCAAAACCCTTCTCAGACCCCGCGACACCATCCTCCTCATTTTCTTTTCTTCCTTCTTTCTCTCTTGCCGTCGACGCCACTCCACCACCCCGGCCACCACGCCACGTCCATGTCGGAAATCTTTTTCGCCGTCACCTCTGGCGATCTAGCAGGCTCCCCGCTGCTTCTTCTCCGTTTTTGTTCAATCCCCTATCCTCCGACCGCCCCGCCAAGTACCATCCTCTACCATGCCCGGCAACCGTTCGATGAATCGCCGGAGTTGAAAATAGTTGTCCCTTCTTGTTTGTAGCAATGGATTCCGATTTGGAGTTTTCGGATGCAGTGTCCCCCGATGCACTATTCGTTGACCATTTCGCCGGCGTTTCGGATGCGCAAGACCGTCTTCGATCGATTGTACCATGGTGCCCGGTCCTACATGACTACTTCATCCTAAAGAAGGACGTCGTGGGAACGATTGGCTTCTCTGGTTACCAAAAATGCACGGCCGCACTCCGGATGCTTGCATATGGCACGACCGCTGATTCGTGGGACAAGTACCTACGGATGTCTAAGAGCACATGCGGAGATGCCATGGTCAGGTTTGCAACTGCCATGGTCGAGGTGTTCGAACCTCAATACCTGAGAGAACCAACTGTGGCAGACACCGAGGGTGGCCAGGTTTGCTTGGATCTCTTGATTGCATGCATTGGAAATGAAAGAATTGCCCAAAGGCTTTACAAGGGCAATATCAGGGTCATGTTAAGAAACCCACCATCATTTTTGAAGCAGTTGCATCACAGGATCTTTGTATTTGGCACGCTTCTTTGGCATGCTCGGGTCTCACAATGACACTAATGTGCTGCAACGATAACCATTGTTTGTGAGGCTGACTGAAGGAGAAGCTCCTCCTTGCCACTATACTGTCAATGGACATGAGTACAACATGAGCTACTATCTGGTTGACGCTATATATCCTCCATGGACTACCTTTACCAGCACCATCTCAAACGCAATTGGCCAGAAAAAAGCTCACTTTGCTCAAAGACAAGAAACAGTTAGAAAGCATGTCGAGATGGCAGCTCACTTTGCTCAAAGACAAGAAGCAGCTAAAAAGCATGTCAAGAGGGCATTTGAAGTTCTTCAGACCCGTTTTGTAGTTGTTCGTGGACTTGCAAAACAATGAGACCCGAAAACCTTGTGAGAGGTGATGACATGTCGTGTGATCATGCACAATATGATCATCGAGGATGAGGAGATACTGCCGCAACTCTGAAATTTGAGAACATGAGTGATACTATCCAACTTCCGAACTAGAATCCGGCCACATTTCAATTTATTCAAATGCATCAACAAATTCAGCATCAACCAGAATCTGATTGAGCATCAATGGGCACCAGAATGTGATAACTGAAGAATGTGATAACTGACCTGTGACTGCTATTTTTTTTCTTTTTCGGGTAGCTGCCTGTGACCGAGTGAACCACGAGTATATTGTCCAAACTCTCGATGAAGCCTTGGATCAAAATTTCAAAACTAGTACTCTTATTTGAACTTCCTTACAAACATCTAGCTACAACTACACACAAATCCCCACCCCCTTATAATGGAGGGGCTTTGAGCCGCTGTCCCTGCGTCCCCACACTCCTCTGTCTCCAACATTTCCGTTGATCCATCCTCTCTCGCTACCACTACATAATAATGCCTAGACACCGCCGGTACCAATGCAGAGAACGATGGTTCTCCGGTTCTCTGACCACTCATCTGAGGCTGTTCACGAAGGCGAGGAGGGACTGGACGTCCCTCTTCTCGGACGGGTACTTGATGGGCTTCACGGTGCGGCCGGGGAACAGGAGGATCGTCGGGAAGCTCTGTAGTTGCAGCTCCGCCTGCGCGAATGGCTTCTGCTCGCCGTCCGCGCGGAACTTGGCCACCTTGATGCCTGAGCCGCTCAGCTTCTCGGCCAGCTCAACGTAGGACGCCTCCATTGCCTGCACGACACGACACACCAGAATCGTTTCAGCAAACCATGTTCTGAGTTCCTGAACGTAGTTGGCAACAGAATCGCAAAATAGATGTACCTGGCAGTATGGGCACCAGGGAGCGTAGAGGACGGTGAGCCACGGCTCGGCGCGGTTCTCGAGCCGCAGGAGGTTCTCGATCCCGGGACGGGTGAGGTTGACGATGGCCTGGCTCTGGAAGATGTCTGGGGCGCTGGCCTCGGCCGAGCCGTTGCCGTTGACGCCGACCTTGGGTGCCTGACCTTCCTTGTCGATGTTACCGTTGTGCAGGCCGCACTCCTTGGCCGTGGCGTCCTCCCACCACCACCTCCCTTCCCTCTCGTGCTGCCCCGGCAACACGGGCCTGGTGCACGGCTCGCACCCAATGGAGACGTAGCCCTGAAACACAAAGAGAGTTTTTACGGTACCCTATGCTGCTAACAGGCGAGGAAGCGGTATATTAAAATCTGACCGCTGATTTCCCGAGGGTAGGATAGACATAGATTTTCTGTCATGGAAACCTTAGCGACGTCGTCGGTCAGCGGATATTGGCGATGGGAAACCAAGACGGCAAGCTCCGCCTGCATGTGCCACAACTCCTCCACAGTCTCCTTCGACCTCCTGCTCTGGTTGCTGGACGGAGGCGCCCCCTGAGCCGTCGTCCTCGACCACGACCTCCTCCTCGAACTCATCTTATTCGTTCCCGTCGTTTTCATCTACAGTAGCGTCGTCTCGCTGAAGCCGGCGCCCTGTCCGCCATGGACGAGTCACTGGAGCTCGTCTCGCATGCACACACCCAGCCACGCGCGCGCCCGTTCGCGCTCCACGCCTGCAGCAACAGCCGTCGTGCACGCCCCACAGCACCGCAGCAGCTGCTCGTTCGCTCCCGCCTCCCGCACGCAAGCAGCCCCGCCGTAGCTGCTCGTCCGCTCCCGCCTCCCGCACGCAAGCAGTCCCGCAGCCTCGGGTCGCCTCGCCACCATCCGCGGACAGCGTGATCCGAAAGGGCAGGCCGGGGCAGCCCGCAGCCAGCCGCCATGGTCTCGCCTGCCTGGCATGGCCGGTCGCCGTCGTTGGCGAGCAGCGTGCGCCAGGAGGCATCGGATGTCCGGAAGGCCTAAAAGTCGGTTCGAAGGTGCTGCACCTTGCCGGCCCAGCCGGCCTCGTCACGGCGGACCAGTCCCCAGAGGGCGAGACGGGCGAGCTGAAACTATTTACTCCCAAAATGCCCTAGCGATTTGTATACTGGAGGACGGGAGAGAAGCGGTGCAAGCTATACCGCTCGCGATTCTATTGGCAAATTGGAGCAGTATAGATCGATCGTTACCATTAGATTTGAAGAATGGATGGCTAATATTTGACGCGGGGTACCATAAAAGAGCTCAACACAAGAGTTCAAGTGCGTGTAAATTCCTCTGAAATTACCATATTGCATGTCCATATTACACCTCTGCAACCAGGGGGCACTTACTTGAGCATGCAGGGTGTTCACAGGGACATCCATGGTCCTGAGGAAGGTCCAGATATCCTTGCCATCCACATTAGCCACAGGGTTCCACTTGATCAAGCTACCGGCTCCACCATCCAGCCCTTCAAAAGACGGATCAACCTGGACCAACAAAAAGTTCAAATGATCATTAGGTGTCAAAACATCAAGAGTTCAAGACACAATATCAAAATGCATATTTTTCACATGATCGATACTGAAAAATGCAGGCGGTGTCATGGTGCATGGAGTATCATCATACTTGAACAACAGGGATGCTGGCTCTGGTGCCAGGGGACTGATCCTTCCTCTGCCCGGTGATCCAGGCCTTGAGGCCCTTGAGGGCCCTCCTCAAGGGCCGAACCTTCCTCACCCTGCAGCACTCCTGGTGTCCGTCCTCGTAGAAAGAGAAGAGGCCCTTGCTCCTCACAAGGTCTTGCACCTCGCTGGCCTCAGGGAACATGTACTCGATGTGGATACCATAGTGCTTCTCCACCTTGTCGAAGAGTTCGTATGTCTCTGGGTTCAGTCGCCCAGTGTCAAGGCTGAACACCCTGAAGGGGCGTCCAGTCAGTTTCGCGTATTCGATGAGGGCCACGTCCTCGGCACCACTGCACAATTCAGAGTGAATCCACATCAGTGAAACGCCAACAAGTTCCTTGTGCGTGTGATGAAAGATTTGCAAGTACTTCAGATATATTGTACTCCCTCCGTCTTATGGGATGGAGGAAGTACCACTGAATGATCGCAGATGCTTGCACGAGACCAAACCATGTGTCTTTATCCTTGGATACCATACATAATTTTTCAATGGGTCCGTGATATACATACATACGGCACAAATAAGTGGGTGGCGTCAGATTATTTTTTGACGCCACACCTTTTTTATGTTCCGTATGATAGTCAAGCAAATATTCTGTCCGCTTGTGCGTGGTTGGTGGGCCATGATTCTAGCTCTGGTCCAAGAAAAGTCCCGTACAATGGAGAAAATGAACCTAGACGCCCTCCCAGTCTTGTTCACCAGTCTAGATACATGAGGACCAGGTAATAGACGGGTTTGTTGCGAAACCGATCCGACCCATTTACTATACTGTATTTGATTTGAGTACATCGCCTCAAGCCTCATGAAAAAAAAATCATGAAACCAGAGTACTTTGAAAACACAAGCTTTAGGACATGAAGCTCCAGCGGTAACTAATCCACTTACTAGCCCGGCAATGAGATCACAATCGTGCACTGAGCTATCAGACGAGGATCAGGTTGGCTTGGCAATGCCAGGAATCTGCACGACCACTCGTTCGAAAGATACCGAGATGCCACGGGCACCAGAGCCCAAGCACGAACGCGTGCAAACGGGTGTTTCTAATCCAGTACGCCAGGGTCGGAAACCTCATCTTGAACAAAGGGATCGTAAAGAGCCAAGAGCTGTGCGTGTGTCTCACCTGAAGGCGATGGCGATTTCGGAGCCGAACATGTCGAGCGCACGATCCATGATCTCCAGCGGCGACGCGCCCACCAGCTCCTGCGCCAGGGCCTCGTAGTCCACGGCCGCCACGGCAGATGCCTCCTCCTCCACCGGCGCCACCGGCGACGAGGCCGCGGAGGCCGACACTGGCTTCCTCGCTGGCTCCGCCGCGCACAGCGGGCGCACCGCCCTCGCGCGCTGGCCCTTGGGCGCCGTTGCCGGCAGGCCCGCAGGAACCACGGCCACCTGCTGCCTCACGGCTCCAATCCTCGCGGCTGCACGGGTGAAAAATCAGGGAACAAATTTAGACGGATTGTTCTCACGCAATTTCACATCCAAGAATCTGATGCCTCGCGTCGCCAAACATTCTTATGGAATGCGCCAACAGATGGCGCAAAATACTCAAATTCAAACAGAAACCTGTCGAAATTTCGGAGGAAATGCGACCGTGTGACCATATCATTTGCCCCAAATCATAAACATAAATGACCAGTAGATGCGCCAAGGCTGATTCCCCACAAAACCCTGAATTCAAAACAGGAACCGAACTCGGACGCCAGGCTCACCTTTGAGATCGCGCAGGGCGATGGAGTGCGACGAGATGGAAGCAGTAGCGGAAGCCATTGATTACCGGCCGCTGAATGAACCCTTCCTCCCTCTCAAATTCGCAGGGATGTTTGTCGGAGCTGGCAAATGTGTTTTAACTCCTGTGTTTTCCTCTGTGGCGGGGGAAACGGGGCTGAGTGGTTACATATAGCTCGGGCGGGAGGCCAGGTTCGTTGTATCTGGACGGGTTCTGGGGGCAGCAGCCGGGAGGGGCACGTGCCGTGCTTCTATTGGCCGGAGCCGTGAGAGGGCCATGAGAGGGCTCCCTGGCCGATCGAAGCAGTGGCGTCACTTGGCACCGTGGAAAGGACCGGCACGACGTGTGGGTGCCACATGACTGCAGGGCTGACGCCGGATGTGGTGAGGTGGATTGGTGTGTGGCCGTCTGCATGCCTCGATCGGCCTATAACCGTCTGCTTCATGGGCACAGGTGAGGTCTCTGGTCCGTCTCTAGAATTTTCGCATCCGATGGATTTGATCATCATATCGTACCTGCAGTATTATCGCTGTTCATATCCTTACAATGCCAATTTAGGATACAGGTTAAATGGATGTACTCCCTCCGTCTTAAAATTTTTGTCTTAGATTTATCTAAATATAGATGTATCAAGTCACATTTTAGTATTAGGTACATCCGTATTTAGACAAATCTAAGAGAAAAATTTTAAGACAAAGGGAGTATTTAACACTGAAATATGTGTAGATATATCCGTTTGATCAATAAGTAGTATGAACTGGACAGAGTACATGATTTTGGAAAAGTATTAATAGGAAAACTCTGCCCAATTAAGGTTAAGTTTTAGAACGATAATAGAAAAACAAAACGAAGGCAATTTAACTCAGCACGGCTTGGAGCGATAAACATCATTTGTTCAACTTAACAATTGTCTGATGGAGCTAAAGACTCAAACTAGAACATAATAATGTATCTAAACAATCTAGGGGCATCTACAACGCAGACGTTTATGATGGGCGTCGGGGTTTGATTCCTGGTAATAATTATGTTAAAATCCCGCCCGATCCTAGTATTTAGCCTGGCATCGATGCCGTGAAAGGCACGAGCGCTTCGTTGCTTTTTTCTTCTTCTGAACTACCCTTTTCTTGACTAAGCAGACGTTATTTGTAGCAATAAAAAAACATTACATCCTATTGAAGAACCCATTGCGTTGGACACTCAAACTCTTGTACCGATGATATTGATCTCAAAGGTTAAGAACCCGGAGTGTATGAAGGATCTAAGGCATATTAGTCTGTGCAATGTGGTGTACAAGCTCGTGTTTAAGGTACTTGCAAATAGACTTACACATATACTCCCTGATGTCATTTCCCTAGACCAGAGGGCTTTTGTGCCGGAATGGTTGATAAACCAATAACATTTTGCTGGCTTATGAATGCACACACTTCATGCAGAGAAAGAGAAGGGGGGAAGAAGGGTATGCTGCGGTGGGATTGCATATGAGTAAAGCCTACGATAGGATGGATTTTTTTTGGAGAAGATGATGCAAAGATTGGGCTTCAACGAGGGGTGGATCAAGAAAATCATGATGTGTGTCACCACAGCGGCATATCGGTTCAAGGCGAATGGGGATTGTACGGATGTGTTGCTGCCCCAGAGAGGGCTGCGCCAAGGTGACCCTTTATCACCTTATCTCTTCCTTATTTGCGCAGGACGGTTTTTCGTCACTTCTCAATAAAAGATGAGCTGGGAGGCAATCTTAAAAGGATTTGTATAAGTAATGAAGCTCTGAGTTTCAACCATATACTGTTTGGAGACGACCCATTGGTACTGATCAAAGCGTCAAGCGAGAGTGCCAGATATCTGCAAAACATGCTACATACTTATGTGTGCTCGGGGCAGACTGTAAACTATGAGAAATCCTCTGTCATGTTTAGTAGGAATATGAGGTTGGGCCAGAAACAAGAAGTCTTAATGGAATTACATATAAATGTAGAAGCTCGATCCGAGAGGTACTTGGGGCTGTCGGTATATGTTGGACAAGCAAGGAAACAAACTTTTGAGCATTTGAAGGAAAGAATTTGGCAGAGGATTCAAGGCTGAGTAGAGAAGCTAATGTCCAAGATGCTCCTTAAAGCGTGCACCCAAGCCATCCCAACAATTGCCATGTCATGCTTCGATCGAACAAAATCTCTCTATGAGGAGATGGGAACGATGGTTTGTAGGTTTTGGTCGGCAAAGCAAGATAAATAGAGCACTATTCACCTGTTGAGCTGGGATACGCTGACAGAATCAAAGAAGGACGGTGGTACGGGGTTTAGGGACCTTTATGGTTTCAACCTTGCCATGTTGGCACGTTAGGCATGGAGGATCCTAACCATGCCCAAGTCCCTCTGTGTTAGAGTACTGAATGCCCACTATTTCCCCACCACATCGATTCTGGATGCGGAGCCGGCCCATGGGATCTCATATACTTGGCAAAGTGTATCCTAAAGGGAGTTGATCTGCTGAAAAGGGGCTCGTATAGGATTGGTGATGGCACGGATGTTAATATATGGAAAGATCCATGGCTGAACAGAGAATGATCGAGGATACCATTTACACAGAGAGGTACATGCGTCCTCACTAGAGTGTATGAGCTTATAGACCTAGAAAGTGGCACCTGTGATGAAGCGTTGGTGAGAAGCATTTTCGTGCAAGAAGATGTCAAGGTAATACTAGAAACACCCATTAATGAGGAATATGGTGATTTCCATGATTGGTATTATGACGGTAAGGGACAATTCTCAGTCAAATCTGCCTATAAGGTCTTTGTGCAAGATAGAGATGCACCCCTCCCTAGTTCCTCAGGACATCTGATACTTTCCCGTGGAAAAGCATTTGGGAGATTCCATGTCAGTTAAAGATCCAACAATTTTTATGGCGTCTAGCACATAGTAGCTTACCACTACTACTTACCCTAAACCGGAGAGGAATCAAATGTGAAACTCTGTGAGTCTGTTGCCGCAGATTGGATGAGGATGGTGCCCACTTATTCCTGAAATGCAAGGAAGTGAAAAAGTATGGCAATGCATGCAACTCGAGGAACTACGTAGTCAGTTGTCTGAATGCATGAACGCCATGGAGTTTGTGCAGAAAATATGGAGCACCCTCAGGAGAAATGCATGCTTATAACATGCATGCTTTGGTGCTGATGGAGCCGCCGAAATAAGATAAACGCTGAGAGAAAACAGGCCATGCTGAGGAGTTGGAAGGAAACATCAGGTATTGGACCTCTAAATCTATCTTGTTGTGCACAAAGCAGAAGGGGCAGACAACAACCAAAGAGGTACAAACATGGAAGGGACCTATAGGTGACATCCTGAAAATCAATGCCAATGGGCTTTCAATGCACAGAATGACAATGGAGAATGGGTTTTTGTGATACGTGATTGGCATGGGGATGTGATGGGCTCGGGAGCTGGGAACCTGAAGTACGTTGGCAATGTTATCCAGGCAGAAGCGATGGCTTGCACAGAGGATTTACACGCAGCAACAAACTAGGGTATGATGAATGTGCAATTTGAGACTAATTGTCAGAGGTTGGTCCGAGCTCTGCAAGGAAATGAGTATGACCTCGCACCCGAAGGAACTCTCTTTAAAGAGATTGAATTATTTGCTCGTCAGAACTTCAATAGTTGTAGTTTTAATTTTGCCATGTGGGATTGTAATAAGCTAGCTCACACGTTGGCTGCTTTGTGGGCTAGTGGTCCAGCTATTAGACAGCTATGGACTGAAGCACTCCCTGATGATGTAAGTGTCTTGAGGGAGAGTGTTGATGTTGTGCCATATGAGGTATGGAATCTGTTTGTTCCATTTCAAAAAAAATCTTTGTTTTCTTTTCTTTAAGCGCCTCAACAAGCATCTATGCATTGTAGATGCCCTAAAGAAATTAGGTATAAAAGAGGCGTAGCTGGGCTATGTTCCACAAGTTGGAGAGATGTAGCTGAATTCTAGATTCCGGAGCCAGTTCTGCCATCTTGCGGAACATGATGGATGATGAAGGGTTCCTCCTGTTGAAATATATTTCCCGCCTCTCTCCATGAGTTCTAACTTTTAGACTAACTGGTTGGAGCATGAATTGAATACCTCCCATGGGGGCGCCAGCTAGTTGTAGAGCGAGTTTGTTGACATTGAACACCCGACCTTGGACTCGGTGACAATGATACCTACTAAATTTCTCTTGATAGACAACCATTCTCTCCAACGCAATTTCTCTGGCCCTCTCCAGTTTGTCTGAGTACTCGTGCCGCTCCAGCTCTACCTGGTATTCAAAGTAGTTGGAGTTGTGTGGTGATTCATGCTCAATGTCATTGGGGAGGATGTCCTCGACCCAGTAGACTATGAAGAATGGGGTGTAACCCATCGACTGGTTTGGGGTCGTGTGTAGGCTCTAGAGGACGACCGAGAGCTCTTCCACCCATTTTCCAGCCTCACAAGAGGGCATCAAGCGGGATTTATGTCCTCTCGGAGTTAAGTTGATGGCCCGTTTGGCTTGGCCGTTTGACTGCGGGCCTGCGAGTAAAGCATGATCAATCTTGATGCGGTGCATGTGGTAGTAATCCTAAAAGATTCCAAGTGTGAAGTTGGTACCATTGTCGGTGGTGATGTTGTGTGGCATGCCGAACAGGTGGATGATGCCAGAGATGAACTTGACGACTGACCCCCGGCTTGGCTGGTCACAGTCTTTAGTTAAATCCACTTTTGCCACCTGCCTAATTATCCAACAGCTTTTGTTCCTGTGGGTAGCCGGTTTATCCGACATGACCGAGTGGATTGGCAAAGGTTGGTCTAGTATGATGTCTGGATCTATTTTTCCATTGTTGCCGCTCATCGACTCTTCTTGTGTGGGAGCTATACACCATGTTCGTCGGTGTCACCGTATTTATCTTTACGGTTGTGGCGTGGGCACTTGCCTCCCCTTGGGAGCTAGGTCAAGCCCGAGTTGGGGCCCTGGCGTCATTGATGGGCTAACCAGGCATCCTCCATAGCGCACTAGTTGGTCATTAAATCGACGAGGGCT